TATCTACATAAACTGTTGTGAAATGACTTTATGAAACAATACCACTCCGTAAAAAAATCAGGCCCGGTCGCGCGCTCCCTCTTTGGGGTATAACCGGTAGACGTTGGTGGAATTGGGTGTGACCCGTTACGGGTCGAACCAATAACTTCCCGACCATTTGTTTTTTCTTTCATTACTTTCTTTATTGTGTTTTTATTCAATCTTTTTCTCACATCTCTCCGGGGAAATACCCATAGAAGGAAAGTTACTTCGCAGATTTAATAAACGCTGGGGTCATGCCACAGTAAATGCAGCGCACGCTATACGCAACGCTAGTCATTGTCAGAAATATTCGATAAATAGTTGGATAATTATTTCATGCGTTGCATGCGTTTAGTGTTGCATCCATTGTGGTATTACCCTTAGGGTGATTTTGCAAAGAACGCATTTGCAATTTAAGTTAACTCAAACTTCAATCAAGTTTGAATTAAACCCACTTTACTTGACCCACTTCAAAATTCTCTCCACTCCGAAGCTGATTCACTTAAAAATTTGCAACTTCAAAGTTAACCTACTGTAAAATTTTCCAACTTTCCTTTTTTTTCAATTGAAAAATTCGAAAGTTTTATTTAAAAAACTCAACAACTACTGAGGCGGTTTCGCTCAAAATCCAATGAGAATCAAGTTATGTGGAGACGCATCGACTACACAAAATTAATTCAAATCCCATCCATTGGGTTTTTTCCATTGACTATTTCCACTCATCTCTGCACAACGTCTAAAAAATTGTTTTTGGGAATTGTTGGAGATTATAATGGTACATAAAAATAACGCAATGAACGTTTGTTGTCATGCAGAACGGCGTGAAATTAGTAAATTGAAAAAATTAATTATTTCATGATCTATTCCACGTAAGGCAAAAAACATACGTGATTTTATTCTTTGAAGTCAGACGAATATTCTAAAGAAAAGAAATTCTCGATCGAATGAAAACTGTGCAAGGAGCGTTGTGCAAGGAGCATTTTTCATGTAAAAATCCGCAAAATTACGATTTACGTTAAAATACGGGGCAGAATGAGTTGGGTCCGTCATTTTTCCAACTCTTTCATCACCCCCATCATGTATCAAAAGTTGTTCGGTGGATCCCGTCACTAATCGCAGACTTTAAAGTTTTACCGGGGTCCCCCCTTAATACTTGCCATTGGCAATTGAAAATTTGGGTCATCGCTCAGTGTTTTCTTACTCTAAATGGGATAACTTACCCAGATTCCGGCAAAAAACATTATTTGCACGGTAATCGACTGGCAAAAAAAATCGATAAACTTTCATTTTTCGTTTCAATTATATAACTAACAAACCGCCGAAACGATTCAATTCAAAATTTAATCAGGTCCAAGTCTCATTGAGGCGCATCGATGGGCACAGAGAAAATCGATTTTCATCTTTTATCCAAGGGCAATCGTAGCACAAAAATCTGTACGACGAAATTTTCATGATCCATTCCAATTATTCAAGAATGGTAAAGTTAATTGTTCTCATCTAATTCAATCAGTTCTGGTGGTTGAGTAGATACGCGTGACTCAATGAGGGTTGTGAACCAAGGGAGTAAATGGACTTCTGACCATGAATACTGGAAATTCTATCACAGTGCACTTCTTTTCATCTGATTATGTCTGAGTCATATTGATCTTTTCTATTGCCTCTTCTTCGCCCCTTCTAATGCCTACAATCCCACCTATATTAATTTCACCACATAGTCTTTTTAATTCTCATTTTCTGACCCCGTGTATTCAGTCGTTCAGGGCATACGGGTTCATTTTTCTCCGCGGTCCATTTCACCCCTTGGTCTATGTCCCTCCATTCTATCCAAGTGGGGGTTTTATGGAGATCATTGTTGTGATTACTTATGGAATCAGAGCTATGATAATAAAAAAAAATCATAGTTCCAAAAGTTTTATTTTTAGAGTCACTGGAAAACGCCTGAGTCGATTTTGTTAAAAATCCACTTTGTTCTACTGCATACGAAGATTCATCGATTGTATGGAGAATAATTCAAATTGCATCATTTCCACTGGAAAAATGATCAAATAGTGAAAAAAACGTAATTTTTGGCGTTTTTCACGTTTTTTGCGGAAAACTGAAGAACCGCTGAGACGATCGTCTTCACGAATTAATCAGTTCTAAGTTACATCAAAACGCATCGATTGAAAAAAAAATTCTAATCGCTTCATTTGTTCAGAAGATATCGTTGGACAAAATTTTGGTCACATACGTACATAGACACACACACACACACACACACACACACACACACACACACACACACACACACACACACACACATACATGCCGACATGTCTCCAAAAACATTTCAGGATGATTCGAGAGGCCGAGAAATGTGAAGAAATCAGGGAAATTCTAAATTCAAGTTTCGGGGTCATTACAATAACTTCCTCCCTTCGGGTCGGGAAGTTAATATACATTTAGTGTTTTTTGATATTTCCATTGTCAATAAATAATTATTGTTTCTAAATAATGTGAACAACAAATTAAAGATTTATTCTCCAAATATTCGGAACATCTGCTGAACACAGCAGACAAATTGATAAAAAATCTCGGGCCGTATATTAAAATACCTAATGAAAATTTAACAATGGATTCTCTGATAACAGGGTGTCCACCTAAAAGTAAACGTTTTGTTTCATGAAAGAATGTCAAATTTATAGACTCTAAGGTAAAAAGCATAGTAGGAGGCTTTAGTGGGGACACCGGCATTCCGTTTTGAAGACCATAGAGTGGGGATACTGAAATTCACCTTAGAGAGATAAAATAGTTGATAAACGAGGATCACCTAACGTTGATAATCAATGAGCAACAGATGGATCCATGCACGTTAACTCCTTTACCGAACGAAATTGGAAGGCAGACATCGGTAAAATAAAATTATCTTTGATTGGTGAAAAGACCCATCACGTGAATTTTCTTCGTCATTTTCCATTTTTACCTTCAAAATTTTCCTTGGCTCATCATTTTTCAAATATTTCCACCATCTTGATATGCAAGAATTCCTTTGAAAAGTAGAATGCTGAATTTAGAATTTTCCATAGAAAAAAACGCGAAAACAGTGGGTTCCCAGTCTTATCTCATGGGAAGATGTTGACATCCCACTTTTTCAAGTAAATTTGAGAACAAATTCCAAGACAATGTTTTTTATCAACAGAAGAATTCTCAAAAATTTAGGTAGTTGGAGAAAACAAGCTTCAAATTTTGAAATTGCAGAAACCCGAGTGGAAATTTTAGTCAGGTCTTGATCAGACACTGATCAAGTTATCATATCCGATTCTAATCAGGTATGTAACCCCATCATTTTTTATTTTTAACTTCCCGACCCGAAGGGAGGAAATTATTGTAATGACCCCGAAAATCGAATGTGGAAATTTAAGCATTTCTCCACGTTTCGTGACCTTTGGAACCACTTCTGACCCTTTTCAGGTACCTGTCTGTATATGTGGATGTGTGTGTGTGTGTGTGCGTACGTCTGTGACAAAAATTTTGTGCCACGATTCCTCCTGAACAAACGATGCGATTTGACTTTTTTTTTTTTAATCGCTGTATTTTCATGTGACTTGAACCTGATTAGATTATGGAGACGATCGTCTTAGCGTTTCTCCAGTTTTTTCCAAAAAACATTTGGAAAAGTCGAAAATTAGCGTTTTTTTGTAAACGAGACCATTTCTCCGTGCATAACTATGCGATTTCAAGTTTTTTTTGTTAGAAACGATGAATCTTGATATAACGCACAAATCATGGAATACTGGAAGACATTTAATCAGCAGTTCATCCATTAGGGTTTCACCGTCTACCATCATTAGGCATTAATTAAATTTAAATATTTTGAGAAAAAATTAGTAACTTCTCAGCCGGGAATCGAACCCGGGACCTCCCAGTGTCGTGTCGGGTGCTCTTACCATCTGAGCTACCGGGACACTTACGAATTTCACTCTCAAATTGAATCATACCCGAGTGGAAATTTTAGTCAGGTCTTGATCAAGTTATCATATCAGATTCTGATCAGGTATGTAACGCTATAATTTTTGATTTTCCACTGGGGAAGTTGTCGTAATTCCCCGATTTTTCCCTGACAATTCTCGGTTTTCCAGATTTTCCTGACGGCTGGAAACCCTGGATAAGCGCTCTATCAAAAATATGTGTTTCTTTCGTCTACTGATTGATTGATTGATTGAATGAAAAATATGTGTTTCGAATAGTCTTGGGAGCTGCCTTTTTGCAGTTTATAAACGTTTTCATTTTTTCAATCAATTTAATGTAAATTTGACTTTTTTGCAGCAAGAAACTATATGCATCTACCACACTTTCACAATAAAAAAGCACTCACTTTTTCGATTCAACCAATATTTATCGAGTTATGGCACTATGAACAATTACTTGCCCACTGATATCCTAATTTTCTATTCTGTATAACTTTGGTAAACAAATTTTCTTTTTTCCTCAATTGTAGGGGTATTTACAGGTCCTACAACATATTCAATCTATGCCGAAATCTGAAAAAAAATTATCGAGATGGTTCATTACTGAAATAGTTACCGAAAATTTCAAAGTCGTATTCACGTACAATATTTGCTGGAATAATCGCTACATTCCCTCGAAATTTTCTAATATCGATTGATTATTTGGGATTAATTTTTGTTGGTATAGACTATGTTTCCGAAAACGTAAAATACTCGTACTCAGCGGAACCTGCTTTTATGATCGCGTTGACCATCAGCATCATCATCAATAATTCTGCAAAAATCTATAACGATTCGATTTTTTCAGAGTAATATTTTCACAATTGAGGAAAATTACTGTAAAATTTTGCACTCTCGCGACGAGTGATAGAGCCATTTAGATCAAGGTCGATCAATTTATAAATATCATAGAATAATCCCGGAAAACGATTTCTAAACTATATTTTGCATTTATCTGAAGGAATGAGGTGACTGTAAACTCTTGGCACTTACATCAGAAGCCTTTTCGGTGACAGCATCCAGTGCAGATTCTTCATTATCGAATACTTTATTACCCCGAATATTGTCACACAGTTGTAGAAACATACTGACTGCCTCTTTTGCTGAATGCTGGTGATCTCCATCATAATGAAATACCATGAGTACATACGAATACAGTACGTTTAAAAGATTGAAGGAAACAGTGAACGAGGCTTTCTGGAATGATTAAAAAATTGTATGTTTTTGTATTTCAATTCCCAAGTTACTCATGATCGAAATGTACGAATTAGTGCCATAACTTTCTTCAATATTACACAGAGAAAGAAAGTTTTTACACATGTCTTGTATGAATTAAAAAAATCGCAATTTGATATAATTGCCAATATAGAAATTGTCTCATTTGAACATAGACAGTTTTAACCATGAATAATCGTTCTGCTTTCGGCAAAGAAATTGGTGCTGTTGCAGGATGAAAATATCTTTTATGGAGCACAGTTAATGGATCAATATTTTATTTCTAAGTGACAGCATTGCCATCAAATTATTATTATTCTATGTATGGTAGTATAGAATAATGAATTCATTTTTACGATCAGGATTTTTCATCATGGGACTCTCATCAAATGAGTTTTCCCATTTTAGTAATTTTCAACTTGTTTGTACCAAATATGTTGACATGTTTTTCTGTCGGGTGTAGTTTAACTAGACTTGGTGTTTGTCAGCGTAAACAGTCCTAGGTTAACAGCAATAGTACGTTCATTACATTAAATGAGATGAAAATCTATTAATTCCTGAATTTTGTATTGCATAAAATTTACCTCTACCGCTGATATGTACGGGATCTCCAGAAACTTTGGACACCTCTCAACCATTCTTATCCTTTCATTTTCATCAACCTCTTTAATTAAATGCTTCTCATTATTCTTTGGTGACCACCACGGTGTCCAGTGGGGTAGAAGTTTTTCTTCCTCGCCATTTCTGAGTAGAGCTTCAAATTCTTGACGTTCCGCCTCGGTGAGAACCTCCCAAAGCTCATCGGCATCATCTAGATTAACATTTATAATACGATCGGCCAAATCAGATACCTGAAATGAATTCCAATTTATCAAGACTCATTACCATTGTGTCAACATTACACAATCTATCGCAATTTACATCTTCATCGTCATCTGAATCGAGTTCCTCACATAATCCATCAACGTCTGGTTCACTTTCATTGAACGATGGATTTGTATCTTGTTCATGAACCCTTTTGAGAATTTCAGTCATTATCTTTTTCCCTTCGGGACCATTTGATTGAAATTTAATTTCAGCTTCTACCCATTCCTTGTAAAATTCTTCTGAACAATTGAAATGTGATGTAGACTTATAGCAATGCATTGAACAATATGGAATGCTACACCTGGGGCAGGTATATTTCGATGGAATAGAGTTGCATCTGAAAAATTGCATAAAATTATATTTCTCCAATTTCGTTCTTAATATCGACATATATCTATTTACATTTGGCACAAATGTACGCTGTTTGATGCACCAACGTCTCCCATACTATATTTTTAAAGACAAAATTTTGCGGAATATGTGAAACGCAACTTCTCTATCAAGTAGCAAGGGAATATCATGAACTGCTGCACGGTCTTACTGGCTTGAAACTCCTATGGTGGGAGAAGGCTGCCTTAACGACGACATACATACACCGAGGAGGGACGACTCAAGACGCGCAGCCTTATGGGTTTTTCTGTCCGTTCAATTATAAGGCCAGAGCAAAGAGAATTGACTAAAGTAGAGGCTCAGATCTCGGGGTTGGAGTGACCCCAAGGCAAAATAGTTCGACCCCAACGGAGGGATGGCGCCACGGTCGAATTTGACGGCTGGGCGAACTTCCTGTGCGGGTAACTCGGCAGTAGCAGTCCCGCTGTCACAGGGAGAGTTTCGGAGGAGAATTTATGCCCACCTCGTCCTCAACATGTTCTTGATGTTTTTCAGGTGATTCATTTGCTGGCTAATTATTATTAAGGAATGAAACACAGACGGTGTGATGAAGAATTAAATTCCCCATCAATCGAACAACGTTGCATCCCTNTCCAAAGAGGATTGACTAAAGTAGAGGCTCAGATCTCGGGGTTCAAGTGACCCCAAGCCAAAAATAGTACGACCCCAACGGCGGGATGGCGCCACAGTCGAATCTGACGGCTGGGCGAGCTGCTTGTGCCGGTAACTCGGCAGTAGCAGTCCCACTGTGGCGCTGTCACAGGTATAGTTTCGGAGGGGAATTTGTGTCCTCCTCGTCCTCAACATGTTCTTAATGTTTTTCAGGTGATTCATTTGCTGGCTAATTATTATTAAGGAATGAAACACAGACGGTGTGATGAAGAATTAAATTCCCCATCAATCGAACAACGTTGCATCCCTTAATCTCTGTAACAAAAAAATACAAACTACGACAAAAGTCATGGGCCAGTAAGAAAAATTGTGGTTTCGCGCCGCAGTGACTCCCGGTAATTAAAAATTCACCTCTCCCCTCCTAATTGAGATTAAGGGATGAAAAAGGGCAGTTCAACGGAGAATTAAATTCTCCATTAACTAACTCTCTTTCATCCCTTAATCTTTGTAACAAAAAAAAAACTGCCATGAAAGTCAGGGGCCAGTAAGAAAAATAATTGTTTCGCAGCGCACAGTGACTCTCGGTAATTAAAAATTCACCTCTCCCCTCCTAATTGAGTTTAAGGGATGACAAAAATGCAGTTCGACGGAGAATTAAATTGTCCATTAATTAACCCTCTTTCACCCCTTAACCTCAATCAGGGGGAGAGAAGTGAATTTTTAACTCGCGGGCGAATGGTGAATAGTCAGTGTGCGCCGCGAAAAAATTATTTTTCTTACTGGCCCCTGACTTTCATGGCAGTTTTTAATTTTTTGTTACAAAGATGAAGGGATGAAAGAGGGTTAATTGATGAAAAATTTAATTCT